AACCTGCTCTAGTGGAAGCTGTCCCCGCCCATGGCAGGGGTTGGAGCTGGAGGAGCTTTAAGGTCCCTTCCAACACAAACCATTCTACGAATTCCCACATCCACCTGGCACACACAGAACGTCTGATCTTCACATAACAAATAATGTGAACTTGGGGCAAGCTTTTGTCATCTATAATCATCCATGAAGTTATACCAGAGAAGTAGGGCAGAAGGTGCGGCTGAAAAGAATTTCCCTTTATCTGTTGTTTCCATTCAAAACTCTGTGTCATAAGAAAAGTACCACCAACTTCATTCTCAGATAATATTTAACCTAAACAATTTTCAAGCATTCTGTATTACAAAACAGAAAATGATACAATTAATGGAAGAAGTCCAAATGCTGGCATCACTTTGTTTCCACATTAATACATAAAAATGGACAACACATTAAATAAACATTTTGTTATTAACAATAAAAATATTAACACCAAAAATCATGTATAAATTAGGAAATAAATGTACAAACTATTTCCAAAGTGCTCTTTCAAATACATTATATACACAACATTCACGGAGTTCTTAATGTAAGACATTTCAGATTGATGTAATGTTGCTGTTTCATTTGAAGTGTTGTTCATATTCTCTCAAAAGTATTCCAGCACTTTCAAAAAACCACATAAAAGGCATATTTCCAAGCTGGCAAAGAGCAATATTGCATTCTTCTGGCTACTTGTAATATTAATATACTGTAAAGAAAGCAATCTTCCTTGCTGTTCCTTGCTATTTGAGAGTACTTATTTGTATGAAAACACCAGCAGGAAAGATGAGAGAAATGAGGACCCACTATTTAATCAGTAATTAAAATTATTAATGTAGCATGGGCAGTGCTTAGACAACATTTAATAGTGAACTCTTTAGTTGTCCAGTTAAAGACTTTACAGAGAAAAATAAAAAGCAGTGAATTGAGAGATCTTTTCCTTGTGGTCTTGGTTTTTCAAACTTCGTAAGTACACCAGTTCAAGCAAAGAAAAGGAGAAAAACCTACAGAGGGTATATTTACTCTATATTGTAAATTTGCCGTTAATCTCATATTAAAATTGCTCACAGAGTGTAGTCATCTTGGCTTCCTGCCCCAGATAACTTCGCCGTAGTATTTCCTTCAGCACTTATATTAGCACTTTATAAGTGCTTTTTATCAACACTTCATAAGAACGTATGAAACTGCCTAGAAGTGACTCACATTGTTCATACTGGCTTTTACATACCACTAGTCTTTATTCCTAAATTCTCCCTCTATAGGTATTCTCTCACTGGTTGACCCCATTAATAGTTCCCCTCTCTATATGCATAATACTGGTTCACAATTAAAGCTGAATTTAGCTGCTTTTCTGCAATAATGATGTTTTGGGTTTTTTCTCTTACTTCTGAACTATTTCTGTCAAAATATCAGAGAAAAATAAAAGTGATGGTGAACTGTAAGAACAGCAGACCAAATAATGTGACTATATTTATGGTCATAATACTTGCTGGAAAATCTGAGCAAGGGCAATGGAAGAATCAGAACCAAAGAAGGATGCCAGCCACCTGCTTGCAAAATTTGGCATGAAAATGGATATGGGAGTTACAGAATTTGGAGTGGTGTATTTAAGACTGGAGTTTTGCCAGATGTTTTTCTCAGCTAAGCACAATATGAAGCAATACTGATGCCTAAGAGGCTGACGCTGCATATCTCAGAGCTCCCTTCTGGTTTTCTTTCCACAGTAGAAATACCTTAGTTTACATGGATATAGAAAAGGTGCCTCTAGTGATTAACGTTTCCTTGAAAGTAGGTTTGGATCCTCTTTCTGTACCTTTCACAACAGAAATGTGGACTTAGGCTGATTACCAAATTGTAGGACTTGGGAAGGTGTTACAGAAGTTGCAGTTAATTTTACTTTATTGTATAGCATAGAACTGTCTTCACATAAGGAAGGTATCCACCCCTTTATTCTTAGGAAATAAAGAGCCATGGATTTCAGAGGCCAGTAGGTAATCTTCAATGCATTCAGTTAGAAAAAGATCAATAACCTGCCACAGGATACTCCCTGGACCGAGACATGACTGAATGGCTCCGTATTGAGCCAGAGCGCAGAATAACCTGGCTGTTTTCCAAAACGGGGCACGACTGTGATCAAATGATCCTAAAGCTATTTGGAAACATCAAGAATGGGGAGAGGGAGGGGGGTAAATTAAAAACTTCTGCATTGTATCAACATACAGTACTATACACAGCACCAAATATCAAACCATTAAAGCATTGTCGTGTTACCAGTAGTGCACTGCTTCATATCCAGCATGAAATGAACACTGTTCACATACAGACGCTGCTTTGTGCTAAGGGGTAACCAACATATTACAATTAACCAAAACTGCCTGTACATCCAGTTCAAAAGATGGAGATACTATTGAAATGAATCTGACACAGGAACGTGTTCTTTTATTGCTGGTAATTTCCATATTGTCCCTATAAAGAAGAGAAATAAAAATGTTGGAGAATAATATATCAGAGGTCTACAAATAGCGAGTTAGGCACTTTCTTTTGGTCTATGAATTTTGAAAGACCCACTGAAGTATCACCAATATGCCTGCACCAAATTATCAGATAGGTTTATAATGGAGCTAACAGCTACATTTGCTTTTTCATAGCAGAGATTTAGAAGATTTACCTGCTCATAGCCATAAGGCCTCTGTTGCTGAGCGGATGGGCCAGTCTGGGAAGCTCTGTAACTCCCATATTGCTGCCCCTGTCCCTGTTGGTAGCTGGAATACTGTGAAGAGGCTCCTTGTGCAGGACCTGAGAAGACAGTAAAAGCTGCTACTAAGGCTTGAGGGGGAGTTCTTGTGGTTAACATAATGTAACACGATGGTAACAAAGTAAGCTCTGTGAGTAGATTCCGCCTAGACATCTGGCTTTACGCTAGAAAGTGTTAATACTAGTAATGATCTAGTCCCAGTCTGGTTAACATTGCCCATTCAAAGTCAAGTCCCATCACATCTGGGAGAGCCACCAAAAATCCCCTGCCTCAAAGCTGGGATTTAGATTATTCTGATCTCTCCAGACCCTGTTTTTGCACTAAATAACCTGATGGTTTCTTTCTCCTGAAGGCAGGATACCTTCAAGATGCCTCTAACTGATCAGAAAGCTCAAAGACATCAAACTTGGATTCTTTTGATGATAGTGAGGAACTCTGCTACTGGTGTCTTGATGGGTTTGAAAGCCCCACGCCAGTGTACGCTGCATGCTCAAGACTCTTCCACTGTTCTCCTTTCCCCTCAATCCCTCACCAAGAAATAAAATCCCTATGATGCTGCAAGAAAGATTCTAAGCGAGGGAGTAGTCACTCTCCAGACTGTTGATGTTATTTTTTCCTGTCAGCTGCAGAACTGAGATGTGTAGGAGGCCTGAGAATTCAGGCTGTGTCCTCCTGCCCACACTTAGCAGCAAGACAACGTGAGGCAAACCTGTATTTTTCTAACTTTCTTTCAAAAGAGAGGGATTCAGGATGGATTCGTGGAATGTGGTGCTATACCCATGTATGTTACTGCCCATAATCCCTTCACATGCAGTGTCCAAGGTTAATCAAGGAAATAGTTTTCAGCAAATGTTAGTTTAGGATGTGTCAGGATGAAGTATTGCAAACAGTTGGGCAGTCAGTGACTGTCCTTACCGTATCCTTGCTGCTGTCCTGGGTAACTTTGTTGGTTTGGGTATTGCTGCTGGGAGTATGTTTGCTGTTGTGCAGCTCCCTGTTGGTATCCTGCCTGCTGCTGGCTGTACTGAGAATTTCCTAAGGAGGAAAACATTGAAAGAGTTGGGTTATAGATGAGGTGGGTGGTTCACTGTACATGGGAGTCATAAGGAAGACAAAGGCAGAAGTAGCCTTGGTCTGGAACTCAAATACTCTTCTAAAACAGACAATTGTATTTTGCCAAGCAGGATGTTTATTTCTACAGTAAGTTTTAGTTCATTTAGTTCATTCAGTTTCATTTCGTTCATTTAGGAGAGAGGTGTTTGGTTGTATACATCACTATACAAACAAACAAACAACCTGTTCCCCACAGGATTTTTTTTACCCCAAAAGTGTTTCAGAAGAAAACCACAGAGTTCCAAAGATAAGGGAGCCAAGGTAAAGAGGTGGTTTCTCAAGAAGCCCTCCCACTGCAAAAAAGATCTCCCAAAAGACCACTTATCTAATTGTTACTGGTATGTTTTGAAATACCTTTGATAGGAATTCCAATTGCAGTATCCTGAAACAACAAAATGCACGAAGACTACACAGACAACACTGCTTCCCCTGAATGTCCTCTCGCTGTCTCATAATTAAGTTGATATTTTGCAGCTAATTTAGAGTTCAGATATCTTAACAGTATCACTGAAGTTACTGTAATACGACTGTTGAGAGGTTTTAGTGGTAAAATCATAAACTCATAGTATTGCTTTTCAAAGACTAGTTTCATTTAACCCATTGTTCTTCACCATTTGTAGGTGAATTAAGTAAGATTAAAACCAGTTGGTCCTGGAATTAACCACTGGGCTTTCTTACTCCAGAGAAATTTCCATTTATGACTGCCAATTTTTTCCAGCTCTGACCCCATTTCTAACTGCAGCACATTAATTTACCTTTGTCAGCATAACCATTTACTTTCATACAACCATTTTTATTTGCATTACATAAAACATTTGTTAAACATTTGTGTAAGAGAGGATACTAATATCCTGGAAGTCTTTTCTTTTACTGCAAGAAAAGGTCAGTGTCTGTAGCTCTAATTCCACCTTGTTCAGCTACAAACAAGGATCATTTTTCTAATGAATATGAGGCTACACACAAGTTGTAGTGATCCCACAATGCTGCACAGTGTGACTGCCTCACAACACGGGTACCAACGTGTGGACAGTCTGATGTAGTCTTGGTATAAAAGATGCTAAATTCCATTTCCTGGACACTCCTTAAGGAATTGCAGTTTGTGATGCAGAAACTGCAGGTCCTATTTTACATTTTTATAAGAATTTCATTAGTATTTTAGGGGATTAGAGCTGGCTTTACAAAGATTGCCAATATATTTTCCTACCTCCTTCATAATAGTGTTGTGTAGAGTCATCAAATGACCTGTCATAGCTCTGCTCAGTATAGGATGACTGCTGATAGGCATAATCACCATGACCTACAAGGAATTGCAAAGATTTATCAGATACACTGTTAATATAACTACATATATATTGCTGAATGATGTATCATGAAGCTGCACAAGGATGAGGCTGAGAAGAAATACAGACTCCTTAGGTAGGAGGTCAAATGTGTGGGAAAGAAAGTCACATCTATGGATAAATCTCTCGCATTTACTAATCCAAACTTGGCTTCATGCTGCTTCTGAAGCAGCTTGGATAGCAGGGTGTGCTGATGTGTATGTTTGTGCACCAAGCTGCCATGCCCTAGGATTAGAATTTTCTAGCATTTCACTTGGGAATGAATCATAATGGGTTTGCCACATCCTTAGATGTGGCAGTCATGGTACTACAGCTCAGAGGAGTTACCATCTGGGTAGTATTGCTGATTCATAGGTTCTGATGAGCCTTGTCCATGGCTGTACTGTTCACTGTAATATTCTTCCTGACCCATGTACTGCTGCGAGGAACCTGCAAAGCAAAGACACAGAGAGCAAACTGGGTGAGCCCGGGGACGCCTGAGGGATGTTATCTATCTTGTCTCACCTCTTCTTTTCTATTCTTAATAAAGAAAAGAGCGTTTACAACTGGAGAAGTAAACAAGCTGTGTATGTTCAGAGCAGTTGTAAAGATGTTACACTCATTAGAAAAAGGAAATGAATTTGTATTCTCCACAAAAGCTGCTGAAATTGAAATCACGCAATGGTCAGTACCACATCCTAAACCCACTCACTTCTGCGGCAATAGGAAGAGCTACGTTTCATCTACTAATTTGAGTTATTAGAAAGCACAGGAATGTATTCCATGCTCAAGAAAACAGTCAGGATTAAATAGATTTGAATTACTGTATTAATTTGTTTCTTAGCAGAATTCACTTTATGTTAGAATCAGTCTAGCAGCTTTATTACCTCTTAGAACTTTTTCCAGAGAGGTCTTAGAGCATGGCAGTTATCCTCTGGGGTTTTCCTTTCCTTGGCCTAATTTTTCGTACTAATTGCTGGCAAACTATGTCTTCTTTGCAGAAATGTGTCCTTGTTAATGTGCCACATTGCAGCTGATCCAATACCACTTGAAAGAACTGACAAGATTCCCAGTGGCTTGAGGGAGCTGTGTATCAAATTGTTCATCTTTTCTTTAGAGATATATGATCCCTTTTAGACAGAATTATTTTTCTAAAGACCTGAAATACTTAAATAGATACATCTTGAAAATAGATTCAAGTTCATCTGATTGGTACCATACTTCCACTGTTTGAGATTTCCTGTGTTCTCAGATGGGATTCCCTGTTCAGACTTGGAAATTTTGGTGACTTGCCTATCCCACAGGACGCACTGAATATCATCAATGTTATAACAACTCAATCAATAACCCAGGAACAGACTTTACCTTGCTGGGAAGCTCTGTAGGGGCCCATGGGCCGCTGACCCATCATGCTGTTGCCTTGGTTGCTCTGACTCATCATGGCAATGGAGGACTGCCCCTGGTAGTGCTGGCTCCCTCCTTGCGCCGAGTTGTAATGTGACGTTGCTGCTTGCTGGTGCATCATGGACACTACAATGTACATGGAAAACACTGTTTTCTAAAGGGATGTGACAATCTCTTCAGAAGCATGTTAAAAACCTTTTGCTAACATGAGTCCTGATAAAGTCGTGAATTTTCCACAGGGGCAGATGTTTTCCTACTCCATGTATTTAACTCTTCTGCACTGTAATCCAGGAAGGATGTTACTACATGGCCAGTTCTTGCCATTTGCTTCAGTCAGGTATTTAAAAATACACCTAGCCTTGATTATTATCAGTTTATTTAAATGAATGTAATCATTATTACAGTAGAATTAAAGAAAGAAATAAGATCTGATGCTTGTTCCTCTCTACTCCCTGACTAATCATTGCTGCATTTCTGATCAACTCTTTCCTGTACTTTCATCTTACTATATACCTGATGATTATACAGTTTAAATAAACTGACATTCTAGCATTTATTTGATCTCTAAATTTCATATTGTCAGAAAGAATGCTTAAGCATTGGACATGCCACTCAATACTCAGTAGCAAACACCTTCCAAATTAAGAGATTCACTCTGAGTCGTCTGCTAGTCTCTCTTTGCCCTGCAAATGGTATGAAGTATTGAGAAAGTAATAAAAACAGTAAATGTGTAATACTCTTTGGCAGGCTCATTCAGCTAGGGTAAAGGAGCTTCACAGATCTCTCCCACAGCTGTGGGATTCGCTGCCCCCAACTCCCTGCTAACCATAGCAAGTCAGTGTGAGTTAAAGCAAGCCTGAAACTGTTCTGACGTGTGCTGGTGCCTGACACCCAGAAATTCAGAGATGTTAAAGCTGTCTTTTCCTCTTGTATGTTTGTCACTGTGTACAGAAACTATTTACAGAACAAATTCCAGTGTGGTAGACCTCTGAGGTCACTGCAAAGTCAAGTTGGCCCAGAAGGAGGAAGAGGGAGTTTACCTGGATTAGATTGCATGTTGATGTTTGTTCGAGAGACATAATTGCCTATTGACCCCTGGCCTTGCATTGGCACATTCTGAGATGCAGGCACTGTATGGCTATAACCAGGCCCAGTTCCATGACTGCTGACAGTCATACTCAGAGAGGTCGTGGGCATGGTGTTCTGGCCTGACTGCTGCATAGACACGTGATTAGGACCTAGAAAAATTAGAGAGAGCAACAAGAAAAATCTGTGCTATTATTGGCAATGTACAGTGAGCATCAAAGCCCTCATGGCCTTTCTGAAATACCTTATGATAAGGCAAAACCAAACAAAAAAGTCCTTGAAATTAAAATTCCCTGTTATCTACAGACAATAAAACTGCACAGGCAGAGTGAACCTCCTCCTCCTGGCAGCCAAATCCAGTACAGAACTGCAGACAGGAAGAACAAAACCAGCAGCAATGCCCTAAACCAGTAATTGCAGGTAGTTCAGAAAACACATGGACTTTGGAAACATCCCAGCCCTCTGAAATTTGTCCTTTCCTTCCTCCTGTCCTGCTGCTGATTCCTCTTCCCCTTCACACAGATGGTGACAATGGGAAGGCACAGGAGTGGCTGAGAAACACTTAGCACTTTGCTGCATCTGTCGAGTTCCTCCATCACCACCCAACCCTCTTAGCTGGGGTGCAGGAATTACCTCAGAGGACAAACCTGTCTCTCCCTGCCCTGAAGTTTGACTGAAAGTACCACAGACTTTCAGAAGATAAATTTCCCAAGTCACCATAATAAGCACCGTTGCTACAGTATTCCCTTTCCAACATCACCATATGGAACCATCAGACTGCTCCAGTTATGTCCTGGGTTTGATTATCCTCCTTACCTGGCTTCTTTTTAAAAGTTCTTTTGCTGTTGGGTAACTAAAACTGGGGAAAAGCTGATTCTTATTTTTTGGTTTTGGTGCTGTAAATACTTTTATGAATGAGTTTTGGGAAGTTGTTTTCATTGTGCATTGTTACTATCTAAATTGTGATAGTGTGTATTGTTGTCTATCTAAATTCAGCTGTATTGTTGTCAAATTAAGTTAATTCAAGTAGAATGGAAGACATGCAGAATCCCCAGAAGAGACAGAATTCTGTTGCAGTGGTTAGATATTGATATCTTAATTCACAGTTATCTAGTCTATCTACAGCCTCTGAAAAATGTGTTTAATTCTCGTAGTACAAACCTCATTAATTACTCTGAATGGTTTTTATAGACATCAAAATAGGCAAATTTGCTGTAATTATTATATTTTCCTCTTGTGGAGAGATGCAAGCAGCATTTTCAACATGAGACAGACAGCTCAACTGAGACTGATGGAGCTGGGTCAAGCTCTAGCTTGTGTTTTGCTCCAGGTTTTGTAGAGCTGATACTTCCACTTGTGCAACACAGAGCCACATGGTGTCTGACCAGAGCTAGAGTTGCTCTGTGTGAGAGCAACCATTGGTAAACCTTGCCCTATGTACATGGGAAAACTTAGAGAATCTTGGCCTTTAAAGGAAAAAACCCGAAGGTTTGGCTAATTTGTGACTGTAAGGGAAAACAGGAAAGCATGGCTATGGCATGAAGACTCACTGACTTGGGGATTACTTGAAGTCCTGGTGGGTTGTTTTTAGGTTGTCCCCATCGACAGAATTCTCATTGCAATTGACCTAGCTGCCACTATGGAGTCACCATGTTTAGTTACCCAGTGACTGTCCTGCAGAGGTGATTCCTGTAAAGTCCTGACTGAGGGCAGTAAAGAATAAAAAGTAGCAGCTTGTGTGGCTTCTTCCCTTTTCTTCCCTCTCTGACAGTGCTGTACCTGTTCATGGCTGACTTTCATCTCTACTGCCATTAGATGAGAAATTGTCACAAGTGCTAGAGCCCATATATTGGAATTATTTCTGCATATTTATCCCTAATTTCCCCAAAATGCTGTCCAACAATTGTTGACTGATGCAAAAGAATCACTCAGTCTTCAAGTCAACCTGCGCCTCAAGAGTGCTGTGTCATTCGGCATCACTGTGCTGACTCAGTTCTAGCTGGCACAGAGACAGCAGAGGAGAGACTGGCAGCCCAGGGGAGTGTCCCCAAGCCCAAGGGTGTGAGGGCCCTGTTCTCACGGCAGAGCACATGCCCGCGCTGCTGCTGTTACCCAGGCTACTCACAAGAGGCAAGCTACTACATCCCCACTCACAGCTGCGTTCTGAAGTGCAGCTGCGTCCTCAGTCCGGTTCCCAGGGGCCGATATCTCCATGATGGAATAGCTACCACTACCCAAGTGATGGAGTCTGCATGACTGGGCAGACAGTGAACTACCCTGAGACCTCCACAGCTCAGCCTGGGTTTTAGTACCAGGCTGAGGCAATGTGTGGTAAACCTGCACCATGAGGTAAACCTGCAACATAAGGTAGACTGCTTCTGTCCTGAGGCTGGTTCTTTCAATCAGCACTAAATTACTACAAAGAGCCGGGGGCAAATAAGAAAAACCAGCAACAATAACATTAAAAATGTAGATTCTTAGTAACATAAAACAGTGTTTTGACTGACTTATTATAGTACTTATACTAGGTAATAAATCTCTCAAAAAAGAAGGCCCAGATAAATTCGGTAAGTTCACTTTACAAGCTGTAACTGTGTAAAGTAGGCACCTCATCCATTAATGTAAAAGGTACTATCAGCTTGACCACAAATGGATTCTTAAGAACTCAGAAATCATTTCATGGCCTGCATCTGCTCCTGAGTCCCCCTTCCAAGGTCTGTGATTTTACAATCAGATATTTCTATTTATAGAAACTGATTTTTCTCTCTGTCACTCTGGGAAAGACCCACAGAAACAAGAACTGACTAAAAAACCATGAACTACAAAATAAATAAACAGATTATTCATACTATAAAATGCACAGAGTGAAAAAAAATTGTCTTTCAGTTAGTTTTAGTTTCACAAACAAACACAAATAGACAAAGTACATTCTCTTATCCATATGAAATGTCTGTGCAAACTCTTTGGCTATGTAGAATGGTCTCCGCAAGCTTCTGTAGAGGACAAAGACTGATGCAACACCAAGTTATTGTTAGGAGGGCATGTATCCTGGAAGGTCTTTGCAATCTAAAGGCTTGGATGTGTGGTTAGTCATGCAAGGAATTCCATTTCACCTTGGCCAACCCCTCCACTTTCAAGAGAAAAATACCACAGGATATAATTTTTCTGACTAAAAACTTGGATGCATCTTTACTTAGTGATTTTCGTTAGGCATTTCATTAAAAAGGTGGTTTTATTTTGCCTGTAGAAACACAAAGCAGACTGGAGTCCTTGCAGAAGCCAGCATCATTATTGACTGTAGCCATTTTGTGATGATTTCAGCATGTGCCTGAAACCCCCATATGCCTGAAAGGTGAGTTATCTTTTACAGCTCTGTAAGTATATTCTGCATTAATGATTTTGTTGCCAAGCAACAGCAAAGCAGCACAAAGGGGACCAAAGCTCACCATTGCTAATCTGGCTCTGCATGAGGGAGGAAGGAGGAAGGCCCGTCCCGATTGCATCACTGAGATTGCTCTGTGAATGGAGAGACTGGTTGGATGCACTCTGAGTCATTCCTCCTGGGCCCAAGTTTATGTTTTGCGTTGGTGGCTGCAAATAACAAGGAGGAGAAGCAAACTTTTGGTTAGGTTTTTAATTAGAAAAAATAAGAGCCCCCAAATTAGCCTGACTATGAGTAAAAACTGCCTCAATTAAATATGTGTTTCCTTCACTTTTGGGCTTCCTCGCGTAAACCTTTCTTCATTTGACTACTATGTGTGAATGACATTCAGCACGACACAGAGAAGCCAGCACGCAGCACAGGGAAGATCTTAAAACTGTGCTTATAACAGAGCCTGGCTTCTGTGCCCATTCTCCTGTACTTATCATAGAATCATAGAATGGTTTTGATTGGAAGGGACCTTAAAGATCACCTGGCTCCAACCCTCCTGCCCTTACATGAATTTCATTTTGTGCTGGTCAGAACATAACTGCAGAGGGGAGATGCATTAGCAAAGGTGATACAGAAGCGTGTTGACAAGTTGACCTTTGTCAAGCATAAAGCTATGCTGTATTTTGAGTTATACCTCCAGAATCAATCCATTCAGCCAGAATAACACAATGTTTAAAGACAAACCCATGCCCAATTGCTGAATTAGATTTTTGATATAAAATAGTGGGGTTTGGGTTTTTTTTTCCCTGAGTAAAGAATACAGTAAGAAGAGGTAAAGAATAATGAATCTGGAACACATGGAGGCTGTTCAGACCTGCACCACTGCACCATTTACAGTATAAAGAACCTCAGCTGTGGAGACAGAGATCAACACAAATGTCCCAAGGAATGTGTTTTAAACACAGTAAAAGTAACTTTTGATTTGTTTTGGGGTCTACTTGATCACTGCAAAACTTGTAGCTGGAAAAATACTAAAAAAAGGGCTTATTGACATGGATCAGTAACAGAATCAAAGAACATTTCCCTCTGGCATAGTAACTATATCTGATGGTAGCACTGGTACTTACTGCAGGAAGCAAGGACTGCATATTCTGGTTAGAATCTGCTATTGTTGCCAAGTAAACCAGGTTTCTGTGCAAGATTTGTTGGTATCTACAGAATAAGGAGTAAAGCTCATTTGGAAAGGGTTAACAATACAGAAAATTCCAAACTTTTTTTTTTTTGTTATTTACAACTGATTACTTAAATTACATTATCCCACTTTTCATCTGTCGTAATAAATAGCTACAGTAATGACCTGTATCTGTGCTGTCGTGCTTTTCAGCAAGCATCAGTGTGTTCAACGCCCCTTCTACAAATGGGTAAACCTGGAGGAGGGGAGAGGTAAAACACTCTCCGTGGAAAGCACTTTGAAGCTGGGACCTCAGTCTTTGAGTGCTGACACCCGGGCAGCTGCTCTCACAATTAGCCACTTCTTCTTGCTCTGTTTAACAAGGATCTAGTAGCAATGAAATTCCAGAACTCCAAAACCCAAAACCTCTTTGCCTTGCCAGCAAGCTGAGAAGAACAAGAGTTTTTTCAAGAGTGCTCCAACTGGAGTGTTTACTCAAGTAAGCACCACCTCAACCATTGATGCTTCTTCACAGTTCTCGATGAACTGGAAAAGCTCATAGTAAAGACCAGGAGGGCATCCGAAAGCAAACTAATTGCTGTGCCCTGAGCAAAGTGAGGAGTCAAACCTTTGGAAACAGGGAGGAGGGTTCCAAGAACAAAAACACTTTTTTAGCACTAGTTTTCTTCTGACAAGGGGAAAATGGCTGGGAAGTGGGAAAAGTGGCACAGATGAAGCCAGAACAGTGACACGATTTCTATAGCAAAGCCATCTTTTTTAGACAAGTAGTTTGAAAGTGCAGCCCCGTGACTTGACCTTCCATGGGCAGATTGGTTGTTCTTTCGACTGACATTTGACACCTAAAGACTATAAAAGTATTTTGCTTTCAAGATTAGGATTAGTAACCAGTGATACAAACTGGTACCTCTACACGCACATTGTTTTAGCCACAGATAACCACATGGCTGATCTTTAACATTTAATACTTTCTGATGAAAATGTGTTATTAACTTTGTACATGATTCTACTTTGTTTAATGAATTTATATTACATTGTATATATAAATGTATTTAATGAATCTGCATGGAACAAATGGTCCAATAACCATCAGTGTTTATAATTATTTGAATAAATGACGTGTTAAAAACATTGCAAATACTACATAATCAAATCTTTTTCTTCAGAAAAGCCCTCCCTTCCAAGAACAATACACATTTCTAGATACAAGTGAATCTAAACAAACAGCCCAGCTGTTCTGTCAGTGATCAGAACTGTTCATAGGACTATCCGTGAGAAAAAACACACCCAAAATTTCTAACATGCTCCAAAACTCATAATACTCACTGAGTACACTCTGCAGTTTTCCCCTTGCTCTGATAATCCATAATACATTGTATTAGGTGGTGATTTTCATCTAGCATCTGCATAAAAGAAATAGAATCAAAACACGTTACTATGAGAATCATACTGAAGTCCCGTGTTTTTGTGATGCTCCACATCCACCCTTCTTGGCAGTGGGTGGTGGTTTGTCAGTTCTGTTGCCTTGGGGTGTTACAAAGTGCTTACATGTGACTTTATTGACCCACAAGGTTGTGCTTTTCAAATCATTCATTTATGAACAGTTCTCTTTAAAGGAGTTAGTTGAAATACCCAACACAGAAGAATTAAGGGACTTACCTTTTTTGTTCCTTCATTGGCAGATGGATTTTAATGCTGAAGAAGGAAAACGCTTTCACTATGAAACACCTCTGCCTCATTCTAAAACATCACCCGCCCTTTCCAAAACTGCAGGTTTTACTGACATGTCTACTTTCAAGTGAGAAACACACTTTCAATTCGAACCCACTAGTTTTCCTGCACGGGACTCCCATGTGCAGACTACTGAGCCTGAGGAAGCACGGAATACACATTACGGGATCTACTGAAACCACATTTCAGAGGATTACATCCCAACATGTGCTGTGGGGTTCAGTTCAGTTCTAATGCAGGGAGGACTTGCAGTGAAAACAGAGTAATTATATATGAGTTAATTTATGTTTATCAGTGGCTGCTCGCTTAGCTTCATACACTAAATTCTAGTGACAGACTTGATCCAAGATCAGAGCTGCTGGACAGACCACTGACCTTTATGTAATGAACTTATAATGCAATTAAAAGCTCAAAATACCCTTTGATTTGGTTTAAAATTTCAAACACAATAGTTTGTCTCTTTCCCCCAGCTTTCCTGTGGATGTGGGGGGCTTTCTGAGGGTGAATGATTGGAAAAATGACAACAGGATGTACAAATTCAGATTCATCCCTGGCAAAAACTCACTATGTAATACAGATTGTAGGTACTGTTGCTATTAAGTGATGGTAAGATTGTGCTTTTGAGCCACAGAGTCATCAGGACAGAAGAACTCTTGAGGAAAGAGTAAGATGGTTTTGTAAATGCAAATGAATCCATGTAGGTACGTGTTCTGATGAGAACCAGTTCTTGACCCATTCAGATGCAAAGAGCCAGATTACAGGAAAATGAGCAAAGAGTCTTTCTGGTGCACTCTCAATCACTCTCTTAGGGAGTGTGGCTTGTTCTGGTGCTTGCTCGTAATTTGCAAGTTGGTCTGAACCTGGCTGGACCCCCTTTGTCCATCACGGACAGTTGGGCTTGCGGTGATCCCCTGGAGGGGTGAGGAGCAGGGGCACTGCTGTGGTCTGCAGGCTGCACCTCGCACGCTGACAGGGAACAAACGAACCCTGTCAGTCAAGGATCCATGTTCCTCCTGCACGTGTGCCCGTGCTCACATGGCAACCCAGGTGCAGCCTGGAATTTTAAGGGGAAATACTCCCGCCTGGTTCCCAGCGCAGCGCTTTGTTCCGTGCTCTGTACTCACTGTCATGCGGAATTTTCACCCGTGTCAGTGGAACCTGCATATGGAATCAGCGAAGAATATAAACGTGTCCTTTTCAGTTTCCACATCAGATATCACTGACAACGTTCTCTCGTTCAGTTAAGATACGTATTCAGCAGTAAAAGTCCAAGCAATATTACAGGTATCTTCATCAGAATGGGACTCTGCTTCTACAATTAGCTGAAGAATATTTTCCTTACTAATAAAGGAATCAGGAATGGCTCTTTCCTGACTTACTAGGAAAAAAGAACTGAGTTCTGATCTCCATTACATAGAAGAAACTGAGGTTTACTGCCCTGCAAATGCTGTTAGAGGAACGATTTTAAAGCACCACTGTCACTGCTCTATCGCCAAAGGGTCTGACTTCTTCCATGTGAAATTGATTTTTGGAGTTGTTGGTACTGGAATATTAACGGCTTTGAAAGACTGTTGAAATTGAGTTAATAAATAAAAATAAGATACTTGTATACAACAAATGCAAATAAGAATCCTTCAATAAATTGGTTCGTGTTCTACAAAGCTCACTTTAATACATTTTTGAGCTCCTAGCACAGCATCTGCTCCTTTTCTGTACTCTTCTCTTACTGCCCCATTTCTATACGTGACTATGAAGCCCATCCCACTTCTGTGCCTTCGAGTGTCTTCCTCAGCACCACCACTTGCCACAAACCACTGCCAACAGCCCAACATCAACCACCGGTCCTGAAGTAACACACCAGCAACTGTACCTGAGACATGAAATGGTTTTTACACATTATTTGTAAAGAAACAACATTTTGAAACTTCCATAAAGTTTATGAATATGCAAAAGGAAAGGGTTAGAAAATCCAACTGAAGATACTTTGGCTGCCTTTTGTCTGTGGTTACAGGCACGAGTTTAAGTGCAAACTATCTGAATTATGAAATTCTGCCCCAACCAATGTGGAGGTTAGAGAGAAACTTATCCACCGAGTCCGAAACATTTTAGTATTTAAAATCAATCACTTCACAATCCCACATGTGCTGCAAGAGTTGCACAAACGGGATTAGTTTCCAAACAGCCTCCAGAGGTTCAAGTCACCTCTTCAGCCTCTCTTGAGGCAGCTTCTCTGCCTTCATCTCTGTCCTGTCACAGGCTTCTACTGAGGGTTTTGGGTTTTTCCCTGGAAGTCATAACCTGACACCAAAACCCGCCGTTGCCCGGTCACCGCTGGAGGAGCAATGGCGCTTCACCCCTGGTCCCTGCTCACGCCTGGACCACTCCGGGCACACACACACCTCGCTCCGACCGCGCTACAGAGCTCCGCGGAACCGCACCACCTCCGAGCAGGGCACGGGTACTGATGGCAAACAGCGTTCACGGCGAAAACACGCGCGTTCTTCATTGACATTTCCAGCCTCTTCGGCACTGACCGTGACCGGCTGCGGGAGGAAGGGGCGCCGGGCATGTGCGTGCAGTCCCTGCTGCAGCCCTGCCGAGCAGGAGACAATAACTTCCCAACTAGGAACCTTCGGCTCCGGCCGCCACATGACACCCATGCGGAGAGCTCCCCTCCAGAGAAAATCTTTCCTAAACCTTTGTCTGTCACGAAATGTCCACAAACACATCGCAAATAACGGTACGTGAAGGATGCCAGCGATCGGTGCTCCCTCTATCTTCAGAGGGATTAACATTCCGCATCCAAGTACAAAAGAAAACCTTTGCAAATTCACTAATTTATTTTAATTTATTTTTTTTTAGGTTGGATTTTGGGGGGGGAGCAGGAGCTGACACACAGTCCTAAATTAATCATATACTTGCGAATTGCATTGCCATCCCTCAGTGCATTATTGGCAGCTTTTTCCCCCTTACGAGCAGCAGAGATAACGTGCCATCCCGATTTTATTCCTAAGTCCTCCTCCGGCTCTCTCTTTGCAGCGATCTGAACACCTTTGCTTTGTTCCCCCTCCTCCTCCTCCTCCTTCCCCCACCTCTCTCTCCAGCTGTCCATCTCTGCAGCCCTCGCAAATTCCCTGGTTCTCCTGATCGCCCCAGCAATACGCCTCCTTCCTCAGCTCCAGGAGCACGGGTGCAATAAATGTCTAAAATCCGCTGTATAAAAGCATGCTTTTTTACCTTCTGGATAGTTTGCTGGGTGACCTCCCCTTTGCCTCTTGGGCGAGCAGAAGCAAAGGCAACCGACATGGTGGGGTTTTTTTATGTGGCTATAATATATCTGTTCCAGGCTCTAATAATATTGTTATTATCTGGCTGCTATTGCCGTGCAGGG